GGTATCAGATTGATCTAATTTCTGTGCACTGAGGACAAGCAAGTCCTAGGTTACAAACTGAACTCTCCAATGCAAGAACAAGATGCATTTCTTCCTTTAGGAGGTGCGATTGTCAGAAGAAAATGAAAAAGGTTTCAGTTTTGTTTTTGCATGTGGGGGGGTATTCTGTTTGTAATAATTGTTTGGATACACTATATTTTTAATATGCTAGTTGTGATAATCTCATGCCAAGTAAAAATGTCCATAGTCATATTTTATGTTCTTAAAGTAACAAAATGACTTTCGATCTAGAAAAGACAAAAGAAATGCTAATGTAGCATTTTTTTCAATTTTTCCAGAAATTTCCGTTCCCCCCGAAAAAAACTGGAAAAAAACTGGGTTTTTTTCCGAGCTTCAAAATTTCCGGAAATTTTACATCTCTAGGGCCAACCCTGCTTAGCTTCCAAGATCTGATGAGATTGGGCTGACCTGGGCCATCCATATCAGGGGCAATGCTCCTCCTAAGCTGTGGAGTCTTGTGAACAAAAAATCTACTTTGTGAGCTGCCGGCATTAAAGTTGTGAGCGAGCGATTTGGCTCCTGCATGAATTAGTTTGCTCTGGAGCCATCCTTCCTGAGCTGAGACAAAAAAGTGTGAGCCAGAGGCTAAAAAACTGTGAGCTAGCTCACACTAATTCAGCTTAGAGGGAACACTGGTCAGGGGTGTTAACAGTGTGTAGTTTGTTTCAACTTTTCAGTGGGCCAAATTATGGTGGTTTTGTGACATGAAGCTGCTTTTTTTTATTTTGAGCATTCATGAATTTGGTTAGACCTCTTGCCAAGACTGGTTTTGAAATGGGGTATGAAACTTAAATACCGTGTATCTGCATGAGGTTAGGTGGCTAGGCATCGATTATGAAAACCTGGAACTAAGAGTCCTTCATCTGATTTTGTTTGGGTGTATTTATATTTGGGTGTATAGAAATTGATCCAAAACAGTTTCAGGGGAAAGCAGGCCAGTTTTACACTCCTGTCCTGTGCACGGAATACACAAAGCTGCTTCTATTCGGTCAGACCGTTGGTCGGTCTAGCACAATACTGTCTTCTCTGACAGCAGCTCTCAGGCAAAGGACTTCTGTAGCTCTGCTGTTTGAGGTTCTTTTAGGTTGGAGAGGGTAGGATTGAACTACCTGCATTGAAAGCAGACTTTCCACCGCTGAGCCCCATTAAAAAAGCAGGCTTTACCGAATTCCATACTTCGAAGTGTGCACAGCACCGGGGTCTTTAAGTACAGGCTTAGGCGGTCGTAAAGCGTAGTGCATGTACAATGCTCATACGAGAGACATGCCCATGAAGCAGGCTTATACCGCGTCGAACCACTGGTCTGTGGTGGTCAGTATTGTCTCTGGCTGGGGATTGAACTTGGGACCTTGTGCGTGCAAAGCAGATGCTCCGTCCATGTGACCCAGCCTCTCTCCCAATCTAAGACTGCCCTAACAAAATCATAAAGTGCTTTGAGGGGCAGACTGCAACACACTGTCAGATTAACAGGAATTCTTCAGAGTAAGGGCTTGAAGTGTCTCAGCAGCTGTGTACAGTCAGTTCAGGAGTCCATTTAGGTCGGTTGGGTGGGCAATCAAGTAGAGATAGGAAGGCCCAGGGTGGAAATGGGGTGGTGTTTTCCCTATTTCCCCCCATAAAATTGAAAAAAAATGGATTGTCTTTTTAAAGGTTGCTAGGCTCCCTCATCGCACTGGTGGGGTGATTTGGGGGGGCATTCTGGGATGTCCCTGACATGGAGGAATTTCACATTACTCTTTTTAACCCGTTTTGAAGCCGTTTTTGATCTGTCATGGAGTAAACTGGTATAGGGCTGCCATTTCACACATGGCTTTCCCCTTCCAGTAAAGAGCTGGATCTGAAGCGGTTTGCCATTTCAGACTGCACCGCTTTCCCCCACTTTTTCCCCGCCGTTTTTCACCCGTGCACGCAATCTCCGCCTTTTTTTTTAACGTTCGCTTTATAGCACTATAGCACTATAACAAAACGCTCCAGGCATTCCAATGGCGTTGATATACTGCTGTTCCATTATATCGCTATAACGCTATAAAGTGAATGGTAACAAAAAAAAAGCCGGAGATCACCCGCGCAGGCGAAAAACAGTGGGAAAAAGTGCATTGGAACCGGGAGAGGAAACTGAAGACTACTTGGAAGCAGTTGACAGGTAAAACGCTTCAGCCCCGTTTCCTAAATGGGACAGAAGCGTTTGTGTCTGAAATTACAAATATATTCCGGTATGGAACCGGTTCTAAAACAGTTCTGTCTGAAATGACAGACCAGAAACCGTTTGGGAACTGTTCCTCTTCCGGATTATATCGTCTGTCTGAAATTCCTCATGATTACATCACCCAGAAGTGATGTCATCACATTGGGGATGTTGCACAGCAACACTCTGGTTTTTGGGGCAAAACTCTGTGGTAAACCCAGCTTCGAACCAGAATTTTGCTCTCAAACCCCGCACGATGTCCGTTACATGATGATGTCCTCGCATGGGGGACATCATTCAGCAATGTTGTTGTTTGGGGATGGGGGTTTCCCCTGCCAGCCAAAAGCCAGGGCAGCCCCCACCGGGACCTGGGGACCCTGTCTTTTACAATGATAAAATAACATGTTTATGACAAGGTGTTCATATATTTAATCCTCCAATATTATTTCTAAAAACTGTAACATGAAGACTTTTATGTAAGACTATGTAAAGTATCAAATCATTGCAATTCCTGTACACTGAGGATAAGCAAACGCTGGAATATGATTCAAATACTGAGGATATAATTCTCAAATGCAAGTGAAAGTTTTGTCTATAGGGGGCACTGCAGTTGTCACAAGAGAAGGAAAAAGGTTTTTGTTTCCTTTTTGCTTGTGGGTTTCATCTTGGTGTATGTAGTTGGTGGATCTGTTTCTGCCCTCTCAGTTGTTAGTCCTATGGAGGAGTAGGAGGATTGGAGGAGATAAAATAATGTTCCTAGTTTTGTTATGGTTTCTTTGGTTTTTATTGGGTGTTTTTGTTGTTCCCTGCAAACTGGCAAAAGAAGTTCCCTATCGTTCCGATGTTCTTTACATTTCAGGACCTTGTAGTTCCATTTGTAACAACAAATAAAATTTTAAAAAGTACATTCATTTTATTATTTTTGGAATAAGATGTACTTCTAATCAGTGTTCCCTCTAAGCTGAGTTAGCGTGAGCTAGCTCACAGTTTTTTAGCCTTTGGCTCACACATTTTTGTCTTAGCTCAGGAAGGATGGCTCCAGAGCAAACTGATTTATGCAGCAGCCAAATTGCTTGCTCACAACTTTAATAAATTTTACATCTCTAGTCAAGTGGCTTAGTTTGTGCAATAAATATTTTGTCACTGAAATGCCTCTGAAAACTTAGGAGCACGACACAGAAGCAGGTTATCGCCTCATTCAAGTACAGGAGCAGAGGCCTCTGGTGTCAGAGTGCATGGGGCCATTTGAGGCTGAACGGGCCACTAGTTGCAGTCAATGTTCCCTCTAAGCTGTGGAGTCCTGTGAGCAAAAATTCTACTTTGTGAGCTACCGGCATTAAAGTTGTGAGCAGGTGAATTGGCTACTGAATAACTTAGTTTGCTCTGGAATCATCCTTCCTGAGCTAAGACAAAAACCTGTGAGCCGGAGGCTAAAAAACTCTGAGCTAGCTCACACTAACTGAGCTTAGAGGGAACACTGGTTGCAGTACCTTTTGAAATACTCTCCTGTGTTCAAAGATACCCATGCAAGTAGACAGCTAGCACAACTGTCATCCTTCCTGAGCTGCTTTTCTACTGGCAGGGATTTTTTTAAGAAGCATCCAAAAATATGTGATGCCACAGAGTCCACCCTCTGAAGCTGCCATTTCTTCCTGGGGAACTGATCTCTCTTGTCTGAATTCCCTGCCAGTGGCAGTCGCCTTTGTTCCCCAGCACCTGTTCTTCTGCGATTCTCTGCTTCTGGATATGGCAGTGAATTGAGCCTTTATACATAGGTTTACATGGACATGTAGGAGTTCAGCATGAAGGATGAGCCCTGCAGCCCAGTAGTTAAAAGTGAGTTTGCATCTCAGATTTGTTAAGAGAAGTTAGAAGGCAGCAGGAAAAGAGGAAGACCCAAAATGAGATCGTCTCAATCAAGGAACCCACGGCCTGCAGTTTGCAATAGGACGTTTTGGAAGCCATGAATCCATAGGGTCGCCATAAGTGGGAAGTGACTGATGGCACTTAACACCCACCCAACCAGTGCTCCCTCTAAGCTTTGGGAGTCTTGTGAGCAAAAATTCTACTTTGTGGGCTACTGGCATCAAAGCTGTGAGCTATTGCATAAATCAGTTTGCTCTGGAGCCAACAAAAATGTGTGAGCTGGGGGCTAAAAAACCGGAGCTAACTCACACGAACTCATCTTAGAGGGAACACTGCGCCCAAGGCACGTTTCTGATTGGGCCGAGGCCTGGCTTAGTGTGAGCGAGGAAAATGCTGCTCGGGAGGACAAAGGCAGCTGGGGGGGGGGGTTGCTGCTGGGGGGGACAAGGGCCCTGGT